AAGCCAGTTGCAAGCTGCCAAAAAATAACTCAACTTTTGAGGGGAAATAATATTTCTAAGCTGTTATCCGTCCAATCCAGTTCGCGGGTTGAAATGGGTAGGGTCATTATAGGGATGGGGTGGGGTAGGGTCATTATAGGGAAAAATGGGTATGCGGGGTGGGTTGGGTGGGTAAGGTAGGGTAGGGTAGGGGTAAGGTACGAGGATGGAGGTACCGGAATGGAATCGACATCGGAGCGGGACCGGATCCACCACTAGGTGTAAGTATGCAAATTCATTGCAGCGGCACTGTAACATCTGCGTTTTCCAAATCATTAAGGAAAAGAGAGACATGTCTCATTTTTTCCGTTTTGGAAAACGATTTGGTAAACGCGTTTTTCTTTTTTCCTTTCTCCAGTTTTCCAGGAATTTCTTTGGTAAACATGTTTCCTGTTTTCTGTTTTCCAGTTTTCCAGTTTTCTGGAAAACTGGAAAATATCTCTGTTAGTAAACAGGCCCTAAAGCTCCACAAGATTTTGAGGCACACAAAACCTACTAACGCGGCCAAATAAAAATATTGTCTCGTGAACACGTCTTGATTAACCCCAGTAGTGCACATAAATCATTCCGTGTATCATTGTAAACATTAGCAATAAATGAGACACTATGGGCTTGTTTACTAACAGAGATATTTTCCAGTTTTTCAGAAAACTGGAAAACTGGAAAACAAAAAACAGGAAACATGTTTACCAAAGAAATTCCTGGAAAACTGGAGAAAGGAAAAAAGAAAAACGCGTTTACCAAATCGTTTTCCAAAACGGAAAAAATGAGACATGTCTCTCTTTTCCTTAATGATTTGGAGAAGTGACTTTTACTAGTTTTCCAAATTTGGAAAACGCATATGTTACAGTGCTGATGCAATGAATTTGCATACTTACCCCTAGTGGTGGGTCCGGTCCCGCTCCGATGTCGATTCCATTCCGGTACCTCCATTCTCGTACCTTACCCCTACCCTACCCACCCTACCCCCACCCTGCGTACCCCTTTTCCCTACAATGACCCTACCACACCCCCTACCACATGCCCCTACCTTGGCCCCACCCCGATCCACCCTACCCTACCCCCACCCCTCGTATATTACCCCTTACACCTACCTTACTCCTTACCACATGCCCCCTACCTGGGCTACACCCTACCGCCATCCTACCCCCACCCTCGTACCCCCACACTACCACCATCCTACCCCCACCCTGATCCTGGCCCCACCCTACCGCCATCCTACCCCAACTCCCTACCCCTACCTTACCCCAACACCCACTGCCCCACCCTTACCCCTAACCACGACCCTTACCCACCCACTACCCCCACCCAACCCCCTACCCCTAGACCTTACCACCTCACCCCCCCGACCATACCCCTTACCACCCCCACCCTGACCCTAGCACCATTTAGTAACCCGTGAAGTAAACGTGTCCTCAGTCTTCTGGATGATCATAGAACTGGGTGAAAAAATTGATGAACATGTTTTCAGATTTGAAAATGGAAAACTAAAAAATAGAAACAAAAAATTGGAGATAGAAAAACTGAAAAATAAAAACAGAAAATTGGAGAACGAAAAAAAGAAGTAGAAAACAGGAAAATATCTCTGTTAGTAAACATGCCCTAGATTTGCCAAAATTTATTAGGGGCTGTCCCAAGAGACCTTCATAATGTCTCAGAATATCTTTAACAGTCTGGTACTCTTCATGCTTTGCCCTAGCCTCCTCTATAATAATCAGCATTTTTGTACGCGTGTTACTCGTGTAGCCTCCGACAACTCTACCATGATATTAACACAACAGGAGAACTTGTTGAGAAAAGTGTCAAAATAATCGAAACACCATCCGAATCTCTCAACCCCTCTATATGATTTTTCCTTCTTCTTTACCGAATTATGATTTTTTTTAGACTCTGCTTCCAAAAAATATTTTGTTGTTCAAGGAACCCAACCAATGTACTTTGATCCTTGAAAACTCTGTATCATACCTTAATGTCTTGTTTTTCTAGGAACCCAAGCTAGCCCGTTGTCTGCCTCATAGTTCCTTCAACTTCTTCCTGCAAATATTAATTCGGGTAGAAAATCCCAGTCTTCTTCCCCGACTCCAACGACCTAGTTCAGCACTGCAGGAACATATTTTGTGCAAAATAGGCACGCCCCCGTTTGCTCCCCAAATTCGATGTATAATCATATGACAATTCTTCTTCCCACAACATCCAGTTATTCTCAAACCTAAATGGTCTTTTTCAGTGTGCTTGCTGGTTTTACTACAATTTAACCAACAACATCAAATGGTCACCAGTAACCAAATCCTAATCTCAAATCTTCATCGACTAAAACCTGTTCTAATTTTTCTCCAAATAAACTAGATGTTCTCCTCCCTCTTTTTCAAGTCCATTGATATCTGTCAAAAGGAAAATTCCTTGAACCACAAGCTCAATCTGCTTCCCGAAAACCTTAAATCTGCCACAATGGTTGCGATAGCCCTCTCCTCTTTTCACTGGGAAACATTATGTCATTGAAATCGCCAATCACTAGTCACAAGATATCATTATGATACGTCAGCAGGGCCGGTCCTGTCCATTTATGGGCCTATGGGCGACACGCTTATTTGGGCTTATATCCAAGATAAATCGTAAACCACATACTTATTAAGTTATTTTACATATAAATTAGGAAAACAGGTCAAGTAAGACCTTCTACTATATGAAATCGTCACATAAGAGCATGTAAACAATAAAGTGTCAAATAAATACGTCTACTTATAAAAAAACAATCGGATTGAGTCATAACAACCTGTCGACAACCTCCTAATCTTGATTTTATCTTACATGTCGTTATTTTTGCCTTGTATTTAAGTCAATCCTAGCTAAATATTCCACATTAGCCTTATAATTTGTTTTAAAAAGATAGTCGAGTGTACGCCAAAATCAGGGTTACGAGGTTGTCAAAAGGTCCCATGGACTCATTTGATTGCTTTTTATGAGTAGTCGTATTTATATGCCACTTTATTGAGTACACGGCCTTATGTGACGATTTTGTAATAGTAAAAGGCCTTATTCGACCATTTTCTCTATGAATTATAATAAAAGTGACTAACGAAGTTCATAAAATAAAGGAGAGGATCACTTTATTATTATTTAAGTTACATAGTTAGGCAAAAGTAACAACACGAGTATCGAATAAAAAGAAAAAAATTACTTTAAAATGTTTCTCGTAGAACAATGTGAAGCAAAACTCATAGACAACCTTCTTTCCACTAATAATTAAGTATGACAAACAATAAAAACATCACATATAACAACACTAAACTTTCTTTTAGTTACAACTGAAAAGATAAATGAAAATAAATATTACTACATATTGAATTCATAAGTTGAGAATGATTTATTGACCGCTAAGAATTTAAAGTTTGAAGTCTCGAAAGAATGAAGGTTTTCAAAGAGACAAAATGTTTGGCCGCCAAGAAGATTGCCAATTTGTCATCCTCTTTAACTACTATTAGGAACTCAGATATAGTTTTTTTCAATTTGGAAACAAATAAATAATTGGCATGAGTTTTGGGAGCCACGGGCTCTAAAATAATTATATAAAATTGTTATGTTATATTAGAATGCATACAAAACCTTAAAGGCTAAAGAGATGTGAAGAGTGAAGAGACGTGTCTTTTATTAATCCAGCAACAGTTGTATTGCTTTTAAAAAACTAAAACCGGTTTTACTTAAGATTAAATTAATGTATATATATTGTTTTTTAAACTTGGATCTGTTTAATTGTTTTTATATATATTTAAATCTTCAAATTGTCAATAAAATTAAACATTGGTCCTAATTAATTGAACTTAAGAATAAAAGAAGAAGACTACTCACACAATATACAAAGAAAAGATTTTGGGCCTATTTTTTCTTCTATATCTTTTTGGGCCTAGGGTGGTCGCCCCTGTTGCCCTCCCCCCAGAACCGGCCCTGTACGTCAGTCCCTGTAACACAGGCCACACTTCTTGTTAGTATTTACGTAGTACTTTATATGTCTTAGAGGTGATCACTTGTTAGAGACATATGTACTCTATCATATTCAGTTTTTATATGTGATATAAACGATATTACGCCTTTATGACTGATTGTTTCGATTGTTAATGTTTTATTCATAATTGTGCTCACTTGGATATCGTAGATATGCGATAAGATTGATATGCAAATTTCATCATACTCTTAGAAAATGGAGTTGATCTCACGACTATGAATTCTAGCAATTCATGAGGATCACATAGATATTTTGGAGAATATTTGTATACTGAAACGAGAAATCATTTGGTATGTTCTATTCATGTGTCTATTTAAGTATCGGTGTATAGAATAGTGTAATAGTCCCCCGATGTGATGTCAATTCGTACTTCATGTGTGGAATGATGCATTTTGATCATGACCACCATTTGCACTCCAAGCGGGACATGCACAACATGTGTTGGGTGCATCACGAAACACATAAAATAGTAGTTGAACTAATAAATGATTCATTCTTTGTAATAGATTTAGAAAAAACTTCCACTTTTCATATCTAGTTTGAATGTTGATCATGAAGACATTGAACAATGCAAATATATATTCATTTTGAATTTTCAACATGAGTGTGATAGATTAATTAGAAAGAATGAGACACAAAGAATAAATTATAAAAAAAACACTCATCAAATTCATATAGACCGCATGCACAAATTGGCATGTATTGGTTCTTTCTATTATGATAGATAATGGAGTTACCAAATACCTTGTGGTTTGATAACATCACCGCTGATCTCCCAAAAGAAGAGGTCGAAGGTTCGAGTTTCATCTCAATCAAGAATGTTGACAATTAACATAAACAGATACTGACTACCTATTAGAAGAATATTTTAAAAATAATAATAATGGAGTTATCTTGCACACCGAGTAACCTATATTTGGCTCATTCAAAAAATCTCTTTTTAACGGTTACACCCTTGAACAGTTATCTCATCCTCTTTCTTGGGATGCTGATGCTAAAGGGGGAGAAGTCATTGCATGGCTGAGAAAAGAAGCTGGCCCGGCAATGGATTGAGGAAGACAAAGAAGTTTGTCACTCTTCCACATGCACAGTCTCTGTTACTGGCTGCCGATGTCTCCGGCGAAGCACTTGAAACGCCCAGGCCACTGTAAAAGAGAAGATAGGGTGAAATGGCTGCTGGAACTCGAAGCTTCCATTTTGTAAAATCATTTCATCCTCTTGAACTGATTAATGAAAACCCAAATATCAGTAGCCGGTCGAAACATAGCATCGTCGTCGAGGGAGAAAATGAAGGATGATTATAAAACACAATTAGTAAGGTTATTTTTGGGAGAATGGGGTGAAATAAATGATTAAAGTATCGCCCAGGTCCCATCCACGTGCGAGATCTGTTCATCTGCCACCTTACCGACCCTCTTCGAAACCACTTCTCACCAAGGCACGAAGCACAACCAAAAAGCAGTCCTCAACTCAACCCAACCTAGAGGAGGAGGAGCCGAGGAGGTAATGCATTCGATCTTCTCTACATCCCACTAATTTAACACAATTAAGTAAAATCAAATCCCTAGGAGGTTAATTGCGGATGACAGAAGAATAATAAGTACAGAGCCTCTTTGTGCTCAAGGATCATGCATCAGTTAATGTGTTTCCTAACGTTTTCCTCCCTGCGGACTTCTGAATAATTTTAAAATTCATTTACCTCTGCATATAAGCAGATGTTCGGTTCCTTAATCTGTGTGCTGTAATTTTTATTTTCTGAAAGTAATCGCTTTTTCGGGAACAGTTTTAGCCAAATAGGACTTTGATGTTATGCAGACTGTTTTGGCTTGGTCATTTGAGGAACGTATGGTGGAAGCTGTTTTTATTCCTGCCGGTTGTCTCTCCAAGTGAGAGATCTTGTGGTCAGGTTATGCCATCACCATCCCCATTTACTCCCAATGATGGATCTACTGTATGCTTCGCAAATAATAGTATAATTTCGTCTTGATTGACTATTGAACATAGATCCTGCCAAATGTTGTTCCACTGTAAACAAGTCATCCAAATGACCAATTCATAGTGTTGCGTTTTATCTTTTGAAATAAAGCATTCAGTCGATTACTATTAATCACAATTTTAAGCAGTTTTACTGTTTTTTAATCAAAAGTAGATCCGTATTAAAACGTGTCCTGAACTTTTAAGTTTAGCTTTCTAAAATGCAACTTTCTAGCTTTCTCTTACATGATTAATATGGCTCTACCTGCTCTAGTATTTATCTTTCTAGAATGTAGCTTTCTTGCTTTCTCTTAATGTATTTAGCTTAATAGCTTTCTTCTATTTTAAATCACTATATCAGTTTCTTTAAAAAAATACTCTAAATGTGCAGAATTAAAGTTTATTTCTTCTTACCTATCTCTTGGAGTTGCAAAAGGGGTTCAAATACTGCTTTTTAGTGTGATTGTTTGAATCTCCCAGTTGTTTGTGTTAGTGTATACTGCAGACATCACCTTAAAAATATCTGTTGGGTTTTATAGTTTTTTTTAATGTGGATTATGTTGAGCAATTGAGACATGATTTTACTATTTCTTGTTTGTTACAGAGTATTTAAATATCTGTTATGAAAAGGTTTTTTTTAGTATTTTAAATTGTCTAAATGTTTTTCACAAATGATATTGGTATCATTGTACATACTACTACTGTATACTACTTATGGCATATTGGAATCAGTATACATGTTTTTCAGTATGACACTTTATAGAGGTATAAACCAATCGTTTATAATAATAGGGTATACTGAACTTTCTGTATGTAGCAGTAAGAGTTTTATGTCATACTGAAATTTCAGTATACCGAATTTTGGTTTACCAATATTTTCAGTATGGTAAAGTATGAAATTTTCAGTTTTGACTTGCAGAAACTTTGGCATGATTCTTTAATGTTTTACAAATAATTCAACAAAATTCATTTTTCCTGTGTTTTTTATTAAAGACAATAAACAATAATTAAATTTTTATGTATAAACCATATATAAGGATTTAATTCAGTTGTCATTTTGTTATTGTTGATAGGCTTTTTTGAGGCCTTGATTTGTAATGTTTTGTTATTTTGTATATTTAGTTTCTTTCAAGTCAAAGATAAATAAATTCAATTTAATGTCCACACTTGTAAACTACTTTTATTTGCATTGATTTATTTTTATCAATAATACTATTTCAAATTCATTTGAATTATGAATTACTCCGTATAAGTATTAATCTTCAATAGGAAAAATGGCCAATTAAAATAAATAGAATTCATTAGTCACATACATATTACTATTTGCAATTGAATTGAATGTTAAAAATTGTAAGTATTGATCATTAATATAACATGGCTAGATAAAAATATAACTAGGAATTGGCTAACAAGTAACATGAGAGAGTATTGTGATTCTGAAGAAAGTTCAATTGGATATCCAATATTATTCTCAAGTCTTAATGAAACTCTTGCACTAAAGTTATATTTTGATCCAATACTTTTTATTTGATGAATATTAAATATTTCATGTTTTGACTTCGACTCCACTGCTCCCTCGTGGCCTTCAAAACTCTCATTTGCCATTTGTACTATTATTTCTCCAGTTGCAATCCCATTCGTAAACCCCTCGCCCGGTCTTTGTTGCATGCTGATGGATAATAACTACAACTCCCTGAAATTGTTCACGGATGAGACGTCATGGTACAACCACCTTGTGCTAGCGGCTGTATTGCCAGAAGAAGTGTGGGGCCCTCTTCCTCACTTCTTCCAAACTTGGCTACGAAACTACATTGGTGGAACATTACTTTATTTTGCGTCTGGTTTCCTTTGGTGCTTCTACATCTATTACTTGAAATGCGGCCGTTATGTCCCTAAAGGTGTCTAAATCTCTCATTATGATATACTACGTATTTATTTGATTCCTCTTTTCTACATTTGATCATCTCATGCGTTGAAAGTCCAATGATAAGTCTATATGTATGTATCTATGCTGTATGCACAGTTGAATGATGTAATCTGATTTATTTATAATTCATTTGATTTGTTTTAATATTAGTAATTAAAGTAATTGGTTTGGACATATATATGTTTTTTTGCAGCTGCAATCCCATCAAATAAAGCTATGCTCTTACAAATCGGAGTTGCAATGAAGGCTATGCCTTGGTATTCTGCTCTCCCGTCTGTGTCTGAATACATGATTGAAAGTGGATGGACTAGATGTGTTCCAAACATAAGTGATGTGGGATGGCCTCTATACTTTGTCTATCTGACTGCTTATCTTGTGATTGTGGAGTTTGGTATCTATTGGATGCACAGAGAGTTGCATGACATAAAACCACTTTATAAGTACCTTCATGCTACCCACCATATTTACAACAAGCAAAATACACTTTCTCCCTTCGCTGGTACATCTCACCCTCTATCTTTTAAATTTGTTATCAATTATTAATTATTACGTAGTACTCCCTCCGCCCCCCTTGTATTGTCCCGTTTTACCTTTTCGGGAAATCCCACTAAAATTGTCCCATACCATATTTGGTAAAGTTTGTGTGGCTCTAAATCATTCTTACTTTATTTTTACTTTATCAATTAATATCAACCACACAAACCTACTTTTCTTAATAATCGTGTCGCCCTCTTCCGTCCTAATATAAAAGGGACGTAGGAAGTATTTATTTGCTTCGCCTGCCAATTCAATTGCTGTTTTAGTTATGGTGTGCCATTCCTACACCTTTTTGGGCTTTAATGAAACTTCTGTGATAAGTGTTGTTCTTGTTGTATATACCAAGAAATTTTAATCACTATATCAGTAATGCAACGCGAGATGGCTATAGCAATATTATATTCTATGTAAGTGGAAAAATGGTTCACCTTCACAGTTTTGAAATACTATCTCATTTTTTAAGCTTTAAAAAGTTCGAAATGAATGACATCTCTTGTGCGAAACTTTGTCACTGTGGTCTTTGTTTCACGCCTTCAACTAATTTTAAAAATTAATTGACTCTGTAAGTACATTTCACCGTCCTCATTGTAGCTGGAATGGAAGGCGATGACGGAGATGATTGGGGAGCTCTTTGTATACTCAATTATTCTGTGAACTGAGCTCTTAGAATTTGGTTTAGCTATGTACTTGGCCTCTTATCGTTTTGCCTGTGTCACGACAATAAAATGATTACATAGTTACTAGATAGTGGTCATTCTAGTGTAAAATTGAACATCGTGGTAAAAATAACCACTACATATCAACGGTCACATTTTTATTTATTATTCTTATTCGTCGTTATTTTTTATTTAACCCCAGGCCATGTTGTTTTTGTCTTTGTACTAGGTTTGGCATTCCACCCATTGGATGGGATACTTCAAGCAGTGCCACACGTAGTGGCTCTGTTCCTGGTCCCAATGCACTTCAGGACGCACATTGCGCTATTGTTCCTGGAAGCTGTATGGACAGCCAATATTCATGACTGCATAGATGGCAAAGTATGGCCTGTAATGGGTGCTGCCTATCACACAATTCATCATACCACATATCGGCATAATTATGGGCACTACACGATATGGATGGATTGGATGTTTGGAACCCTTCACAAGCCAAAAAATGATGAGCTCAAGAAGATGTGATATATTAGCAGTTGCTTAGCATCTCATCTGTTCTGGATAAAGGTGTAGCCTGCAGTATGTAGCTCTTATACAATGGGTGGTGAGGTCCGGAGAGGTAATAATTTAGGCCTCATTTCCTTGGTTTTTGGGTTGGACCTCCTGCTAGATATGAAGGGAGTCTATTGGTAAGATTGATGTATATTTCTTGTTGAAGTAGTTTTTTAAAACAAGGCCTTGCAAACTGAAAAAATCAGTCTTTATCACAAGGAGGGTGAGTTTGTTTTATTTAAAATGCTCGGTTATTTGCCACATTGAAATAAAGTACCTGGATCACGTTGAAATTGACAAAACTGTAGTGGTCAATTTCTTGTTGAAAATAAGGCATTTCCGGTTAAAAGGCACATTACATGCAAGTTTCTTCTGGGAAGGAAATTCAAATGAAAAAGCTTATGACAATGACAAAGGTGGCTACATTTGGAAATGAAGAGAACAAAGTAATCCATGTTTGAAGAACTGATGAAATTATAATATAAATCTATGAATGAATTAAAAAAATGTAACTCGAATCACATTGAAGTTGACAAAGGTGCGCTACAATCGTTGACACAATTAAAAAAATGCAACTCAAATCACATTGAAGTCAATAAATGTGCACTTCAATAGTTGACTGTGTGCGAAAAGATGATGGTTTGGAAATGAACAGCAATGGTGTCGGTGCCATAGATACGAACATGGAACACCAATATACCATTCTGTGTATCAACTATGCAAGGAGTGTACATATGTCCATTTGTGCGCATCCTTCAACTCTTCAAACGAGTAAACACAAAATATGTAAATTTAGAATATAAATACGTTTGTCTAAACCAGAGAGAATGTTTATGCTCTATGATTGGAATTCAACAATCGATCTTGGTACTGTACAAACTCAGGCATGCTGCACGCATGACCTGCATATACACGCTCATTTACATGGTCAAGTTGTTTCCATACACAAACAACTTTCATAAACTTTGCATTTTTAGACGAATTGCTTGTGCACACCAGCAAAATAGATAACATGTACGAGAAGCGTGTATAAAAAGAACTTTCCTTCAATGCTTTTCAGTTTGACACAATCAAACGTTGAATTGAAGTAAAAGAAAATTGGTTCAATTTTATCTTTCAAGGTTGAAACCATAGTTTAATTGGTTCACTTTATTACATTTAATGTTGATTATTCAGTTTTTGCCAAAAAAATATTTCAGCTTGATTTAAAAACATAGTAATTGCAAAACTAATGACAACATAGAGGCCATCCCACAATTCTCTGTGCAACTCTCTGTGCATCCAATAGATAAATAATTCTCTGTGCAACTCTCTAGACTGCTCTTCCGTTTGGTCTAGTCTACAAGAGATATGAGAGAATAAGAATGTATTGATTGATGATTGAGTTGCAGATTACATTCGTATATAAATACATGTATCCAGCCAGAGAGATAGCAAAGGGATAAGATCTCTCAACTACTGATGCTAAATACATGTATTCGGATAAGTATACAAATAATATAATTAATTATGTGCTAATACGCCCCCACAATATAGAGGTTCCAAGGGAAACTCCTAGCTTGGACGGGAAACGAGTAAAGAACTCCTTGCCCAAAGGCTTGGTGAGAATGTCTGCTATTTGCAACTTTGTAGAAATATGATGTACACTAAGTTTACCTTGCTCAACAAGTTCACGAACAAAAAAATAATCAAGAGCAAGATGCTTCATACGAGAGTGAAAAATCAGATTAACACACACATATGTAGCACCTTGGTTGTCACAAAAAAGTTGAGGTGTAGATTGTAAGGTAATACCCAGTTCAGATAGCAAATGACAAATTCAAAGAAGTTCCGCACTAGCATGGGCAACTGCTCTATATTCCGCCTCTGTAGAAGATCTGGAAACAGTCTTCTGTTTGGCGGACTTCCAGGAAATGATATTTGAACCCAAATATATTACATAAGCAGTGGTGGATTTCCCACCGTCATGTACCCCTCCCCAGTCAGAATCAGAAAACACAGAAATAGTCATAGGAGACAATCGGTTGAGAAATAGACCGAAATCAAGTGTGCCTTTTAGATAGCGCAGGATGCGTTTGACTCCTTGCCAATGAACGTCCGTAGGTGCATGCATAAATTGAGTAAGCCGGTTGACCGCAAACGAAATGTCAGGACGAGTGAATGCTAAATATTGTAAAAGCCCAATAGCACGACGATATTGACTGGCATCGGCAGAAACATGACCATCAGTAATGTGTAAAGATGAATTTGATGACATGGGAGTAGGTGCCTCACGTGCTTCATGCATGTTACAAGTCTCAAGAATATGTAACGTGTACTGCCTTTGAGATAAAAATAGGCCATCAGGATGTGGAATAACTTCCATGCCAAGAAAACGATTCAGCATCCCCAGATCTTTAACAGAGAACCGTGAGGTGAGTTGTCTGATAAAGGCTTCAACTGCACTCGACTGATTTCCTGTAAGGATAATGTCATCCACATATACAAGAAAATTGATGAGAACACCTTGATGTGAATAAATAAATAAAGAGGCATCGGCTCTAGATTAAGAGAAGAAATCTGGAGAGTTCAAGGTACCAGGCATGAGGTGCCTGTTTAAGTCCATAGAGTGCCTTATTGAGTTTGCACAGATAAGTAGGATGATGCGGATCACGAAATCCAGGAGGCTGAGTCATATACACTTCCTCTGTTAGTGTACCATGAAGGAAAGCATTATTCACATCTAGTTGCCGGAGCTGCCATTTGCTAGATAGAGCAATATGTGATAACCGCTTTCGCGGCGTTGTAGTAAAACGGAGTCTAACCTTTCGGTTTTTCCCAGAGTATCGTGTCTCTCGAGGAATGGCGGAGGAGCTTCTTGATTTTAAGTCCAGTCACAGGTTATCGCAAATTATTGGAAGCTTTCCAAATTAAAACTTTTGATTGATTTTCTAAACTACTTTTTGGAAAAGAAAGTAAATTAAATTGTGCAAATACTAATGATGGCTCAAAAATAAACTAAAGGAAAAAATATAATATTAAACTTAAATGGATTGATGCAGATAAGGGCAATGAATTGAGTAATTAGAAATGGATATATTCTTGGACCTAGTAATTAGGGAAATTAAAACTAAAATTGGACTAATAATTTCTTTCCTCATAGACAAGAATAGAAACTATTTTCATTAATTTATCCTATTTCTAGGTGTCATTAATGTGTTCAAAATGGTTGGCTTTAATTAAATTCTAACCTCATAGACCAGGTAGAAATAATTCTCCAATATTTTAATTAATAAAAATAGCCAAATTCATTAACTAGTTAAACTCTTTATTTTAGCAATTGAATTTATCTCTCATAGACAAGATGTAAATCTCTTTCATTAAATTATCCTATTTCTAGGCCTTATTAATGTGCTCGAATATGGTTGGCTTAAATTATTTTCTAACCTCATAGACAAGTTAGAGATAATTTTCCAAGAATTTAATTAATGAATATATCTAACAATTATTAATTACTATTTCATCATTTCAAACAACTAGTCTAAATTATTAATTTTAATCCCTAATTTTCGGTCAACAAGTCAATCCATATTCCTTTAGTCAATTCATGCCCAAAACAAATTTAGCTAATAAACATCATTTTTTCATTTAACAATACAATGAATAAATTCAACATTAACAAGGAATTAAGCATGTATAATAGAGAAAATTAAACAAAAATAATATTCTGCCAAAATAAACTTGTAGAACTAAAATATCACCTTCTGGAAATTTTCCCGAATTTTATAACCTAAAATCCAATTTTAACAACTAATTGATAATTTTCCCAATATTAACTAGAAAATACAAAAAAAGCAACTACAAATAATCTAAATTCGTTCTAAATTTTATATTGACTACTAGGAGTGATATTACTGTGAATTAAACTGGAATTAGGACAGAAACTAATTTTTTGCCTTTTTTGAGTGTTTAATTTAATTTATGCAATAATAACAACTAAATGCCGGAATTAATTAAAATTTACTTCTACTTCGTAAAAATTAACCTTGTTTTGATAAATAACTACCTTGAGGCTAGTAAACAACTATATAATTAATTGGAATGGATTTAATGTCAACAACTATTTTATTCAAATTTAAGAAGAAAATGCGAAATAGTGGAATAATTTTCTGGAAATTTTAGAAGCACATATAGAAAAAACTAAGTACAGATTCATATTCTACTCATTGAAAGGATGAAAATACATATAAAGAACTCACAATTTGGAGCTAAAATGAGAAAGATATGAAAGATTGAAGTTGAAGGTGCAACAATGGTGGAAATCCGAGCTTTGAGGAGGAAGAAGACGCCCTTTTTTATCTGAGTTGGGCTTGAGATGGTGTGTTTTGAGTTGGGGATGGAAGAGGGATTTTATAGCCGGAGTTTTGTGGAAGGCGGCCAGAAGGGCGGCCGCCCTCCGGCCATGGCCGGCAGCCTTCGGTCACTTCTCCGACAAAGCTTCGTGCACGGGTTGAATCTGCCGCAGGCGTCCACGGTAGGCGGCCGCCCTTTTTGGCCGCCTCCCGTCTTGTCTCAGCTACCGGCAGCTCACAAATCACATCCCGCCGCAGGCGGCCACAGAGGGCGGCCGCCCTCCGTCCCCCGTCGGCAGCCTTCCATTATTTTGTCGCCATGCTGAAACTGCGAAAAACTCGTAGGCGCCCAAAAAGGCGGCCGCCTGATCGATCGCCTTTTGTCAAATGGAAAAGTTGTCTTCACCAAAGTTGTAGCTCTCTTTCTTGGCTAACTACTGGAATTTGAATCACATTCATTGGATTTGTAGTTTATGAGATATGGTCAAAACGGTGATCACGTGTCACTTTCCATCGCAACTGCAAATGTCTGACTTCTTTGAGCAATATGTCCATTCTACGGTGGTTATTTGGCTCTGTGTTCTTCATAAGAGTTGTAGATCAGGAAGATATCAATGTAATGAAACTCGTATCACGAACGTTGGACAATTATGCGCAAAGTTATGATCACAATACGAACATGTGTCTCTATGCATCGCCCATTTTCATCAAAAGTAGCCATATATGTGACTCCTTCTTGGTTTTGAACTTCCTTGGATGATTTCTTCATCACTTGGACTCTTTTCATTGAACAATTGGTCAATATATCTTGTAAACTTCCGTAGGAATTCATTTGTTGGCAAAAAGTGCCACTTTCTTAACGCAATTGACCCGAAATTTCGCAAAAGATGTTATGAATCTGATTTTTACCTGATTTCATGAAACTTGAACCACAATATCTAAAACATGCCTTTTCTTTCTATTTTCAATCAAAAATCGCTTAATTTTGATAAGAAAAATAAGTACAAAAATGGACTTATCAATATGCATCGAGTGTATTTACACTGTTCCTCTCTTTCTAAGAATAAGACCAATTTATAGTACAAAATAGGTTATATTATTCGGATGAGGTGATCATTGTACCATGATGACATATTATTGTATTGTGATTTGCGAGATTGATGTGGTTAAGACAATTGATTTGCAAATTTGTCTTTTGATCATTTCTCCTTGTGATAATAACAACCATGTGCCATGTTTTCATGAAAGTAGCACTTGAACAGGCTATGTAAAGGTAGCACAGTCTATGGTGTGCTTTGTATCTTGTGATTGGTAACACACTACACACACATATGTATATAGGCTAAAGGATCAAATAGGTACATGAACTAACTTAAAGTGTTCAATTAGTCTCTTATATAGGATGTTCTGCCCGGCCGTCGCCAATTGGGACGGTTCCTGGTGGAATTTTTTGATGAATTTTTTTGAGTATTTTCATCATTAAGTCTAGTTTACCCATACCAAATTTCAGCTAAACATTCAACCGGGAAGGCAGTCAAATGATTTTTTGAAGATAACTGCGTAGTTAAACAGCGCAGTACATTTCGGAAAATCATTTGACTGCCTTCCCGATTTAATTTTTAGCTGAAATTTGATATGGGTAAACTAGACTTAATGAAGAAGATGCTCAAAAAATTTCATCAAAAAATTCAACCAAAAATCGCCCCAATTGGCGACAGCCGGGCAGAACCTCCTATATAAGGGGCTAATTGAACACTTTAAGTTAGTTCATGTACCTATTTGACCCTTTAGCCTATGTATATATATACACACACACTAATTTAGTTATTTATTTATTTACATGTAAAGGTGTATATTTATATTTACTAATTTCTCTTTATATATATTATTTATTATATTGAAATTTAACTTTTTAGTTCTTAGCAATGAGCAATGATGTAAGATCTTGGTAGAAGCCGATTGAGGGAGAAATTAAAATCAAACTGGATGCCGCATTGGACAACAGACAAGAAAGAAAAACCTAGGGCTGGGTAGCTCGAGATCGCTCTGGCAAGTTTGTGGGGGGAGGTAGATTCTTGGCATCAGCATGATGGAATGCTACCATGAAGGAAGCTCCGGGACCTACATCGGTTCTTCTGTGCGCTAGCCAGCAGGGCTGGACCAGGGTGAAGGCTGAAACAGGCTCATCAATTGTAGTATCAAGGATATTACAGGAGGATGTCATTTGTCACGCCCCGGACCTACCCGGACACGTCAACAATCCGCCGTATAGTACAAATAGTCAACCGCAGTCCAACACATCCATACTATACAAGGCGTCTGGAATATCATTCACACATAGTACATCCATAGACAATTATAATGTAAATCATTCAATTAAAGCAGCGGAAACATTTATTTCAAGTGTTTATGCCACACTTGGCAGTAGAGGCATGCAAGCCCAAATAATTATTCAAAAATAATAATATCCATGAGCATTATTCACAGGGGCGGAGCTAGAGGGGTGGCCAATCGGGACACGGCCCACCCCAAATTTGAAAATTCTTTGTATTTTTAATCTAAAAATTTATGTGAAAAAAAATTATCTGAAAAATTCTTTGTACCGGCCCAGCCCAACCTTCAATCCTAGCTACGCCCCTAATTATTCATATTGTTTTTAGAACATGAATGGAGGAAGCACGAACCACGTTTTCTCTCGTTGAATCTTCCCGAGCAACGGGCAACGGTAGCAACCTTCAAGTTTTACCTGAAGCAGTGAGGTGGCCTCCCCCGTGAAGGGGAGGTCAGTACTTTGAAGCATTTGAAAATTACAATGACGACTATACTAAGTATAATCAATGTTTCAACTTCTAAGACCCTCAATCTATGGTATTATTACATTATAGTTAACTTTGTCCATTTAATATTAGTACACCGTGCTAGAGCCCTACTTCTAGTCACTTCTACGTCGGTCTAGAGCCCTGCTCATAATCACCGCTATTTACATCGGTCTAGAGCCCTGCTCATAATCACCGATATTTACATCGGTCTAGAGACTGACTCATAATCACCGCTATTTACATCGGTCTAGAGCCCAACTCATAATCACCGCTACTTACATCGGTCTAGAGCCCAACTCATAATCACCGCCCCTACTTACATTGGTCTAGAGCCCAGCTCATAATCACCGCTACTTACATCGGTCTAGAGCCCAACTAATAATCACCGCTACTTACATCGGTCTAGAGCCCAGCTCATAATCA